GTGAGCTGGGGATGAGCTAGCTCTAGCAAACCATTGATGATTTCATTTATAATGTAAAGTTAAGCAGTTTTATATACTCAAGACAAATGGGGGAGATGTAGCAAATTGAGATTTTCCTGGCTCATCCCTGTGTAAACATGGAAGCCGTCACTCATCTTCTTGAAAAATGTATTTATCCCTTTCCTTATGTAGAATGTTGATACTGTATTGATGTTTTTGTTCAGTTGTTATTAAATTTTTATGTTTGAATGGATCAGTGTTAGCTTTGTAAGTTTATACATTTTGACAGGGTCAGTGTTCTGTAGCTAATTTTACAGCAACTGAAGATGATGGCAAAGAGAATCATAGTGTTACCGCTTATCCTGAGGATAAACTGAAATTATTACCTTGATGTACTATCATGTGTGTGACTCATTCTAGATGATCATGCCTTCACATCTTACAACTCAGGAGTTCAGAAATCTTTATAGAGGAAGGAACAGTGAGTGTTTCACTGAATGTATTTGTCCCAGTGAATTATATCTTTCTTATCACTGTTTTTTGATAATTTTTGATTCGTATTTTTAGTAATAGATGCCTTAGGACAAAGAACACACTGATGCTTGTTTTAAAGCCTGCTTGAATCAGGTGCTGTTAGTTTTAGTAAATTCTGATACAGAGAGAAAACTGCAGTTTGGAAACTTACCTTTTCTTTATGTCGCATATATTCACAAGGTCAGTTTTAAGATGGTGTTTTAAAAATGTTAGCCCTGGATGCCACTATCTGCATAATTGAAAAATGATTTGAATATGGCTCTTAAAACCATTTTGTATGTTTGCAGTTTGCCAGTGGTGATCACATCTTGCCAAGAGCCACAGAATATCATGCTGTGCTGTTCTGCTTAGGTTCTAATATTTAAACAGCCTAACTAGCACTTGTATGTAACATTTCTTTTGCGGCCATATCAAGAGTCGTACTTCTAGGAGCTGTCTTCATCTCCTCAGTCAATCAATCAATCAGTAATATATAAGTATAAATATATATGTTATATGTAAATATATATATACTTATATAAAAAATATATAAAATATATACTTTGTATAAAATATGTTTATAAAAAATATAAGTATATAAAATATATACTTATATAAAATACATTTAAGTATATATAGTTGCCCTGTTCTTCCTTTTACTCAGTTTTTAATTTCTTTTATTCAATTGCATTGCACTTGAATTTGTCCCTTTACCATCTGCCATGAGAAAACACGAAATAAATTCTACAAAGATCCCAGTTATCCATTATTTTCTATTCACATATATTGGTGTAAAATCTGGTCTACATGCTCTTTAATGCATTTCAGCAGTTGCTCTACTTGCGAATGTTTGCGGACCTGGCTCCACAAACCTGGCTTTGCTCCATTTGTTTTCCAGCCGTTTCAGTATGTTTACCAAGTGCTCTCAGCAGCTGGCTTAGAGCAGGTGTCCAAAACATA